CTAAGTGCATATGTGGGCGGTTGGATAATGCCTGCCCAGTGGGGAGTGCACATATATGAATGCTTCAGAAAAAATGCTGTTTCTCATTGGGCTAAGCTCATATATACGTGTTATTACTGTCATGCCTCAATCGAATGTTCTGCCATCTAGTGAAATTTTTTTAACTCGGTGGTGCTGCTCTAAGTCGCAGTATGCGCGCTTACACTGAGATTTGGCTGCAGTGGAGAAATAGGCAACCGTGCTTGACTGAGCAGTAGTTTTTGGCTTAATGATATTCTCCCAGCTAATTTGATGGAACTGCAAATTATTTCTTGAACTATGTGAACAGAAGACATTAAAAAGAATTGATCGTGAATTACTCCACTAAATCCAATGGAAATAGTAGGAGAAAGCAAATGATAAATGTTTAAAAATGTGAAATTGTTAGTAAAATAGCTAGAAATTCAAACAACATGAACATTTTTATTTCCATACCTAATAAATATATATTGTCTGTAATATATAAAAAATCACCATTATTTTTAATAAAATAAAAAGCCCCCTTCTGGTGATGCAATGGCCTAAATTTTGCCACTACTTAAGGGGTTAACATTTCAGTGAGACCAAAAAAATGTCTGTGTTGAATCACGAAATCGTTGGTTGGTTTTCATTAAAAAGGTGTCTGGTTTAAATATTGTCAAGCTGCCCTGACATGTCTTCGTGGGTTTACTCATTTCCATCATTTAATGGCTAGGGTATATTTTAAGTAAGCCTTGATTGCTTCTTTCCACATCCTTGCACTGTTTTTAATGATCTTGCTGTTTGTCATTTAATGTTATAAAACCCCTCATCATCAAGTAAATGAACTGGCTTATGGAATGCTGAACATCATGTTCCAGTGTAAATTTGCTCATTAGTTGGATCTTCCTGTCTAGTGCTGTAAGCAGCTGGTGGATCCTAGTGTTACATATTGCATAGCTTGTAAGCAGTAACGTAAACAGCAGTGAATAGAAAACTCCTAATAAGAGAATAAATATAAGTATTGCTGATGATATGTTACAGTGAACATAACTGATATTATGGACATTATCCTACCATCTTGGATTTTTCTCAAACATTTCAGAAACTGCATCTGTTTTCATCATTATTTATAAATGGTGGAAGGTTTCCTAGTTAGTTGGGACCCCTAGAACATACTAATCTCAATTCTTGGATCAAGAACAGCTTTTAAGGGACCAGATTGTGTAGAAATCTTTCCTTCGTTTATACTTAATGATGGGAAGAGTGACTTTCCACGGCGTGTTTGAGAAAACTCCACGACCCTGAATAATGTCCATAATAATAGTCCTGCATAAGAGAAGTAATAGCAAGATTTTGTTAGGTGGTGTGTGGGGCAAACACTGGTCATTGAGATGAAACTGCTTTTCACAAAGGGTAGTGGCCCTGTTGTGTTTATATATAACTATTCAAAGAGAAAAACTCAACAGGTGCCTCATGTGTTTATGGAATTAAATCAGTTGCCCGCTGTGAAGCACTGGGTAGGCCAGCCTATTTCTTTGGCCCAAGTGACAACTTGTTGGTCACTTTAGGGTAACATGAGCAACCTTAAGTAGCCTCGATCTGATTTAGTTTTATCAGTCATAGCCATAGGCCATAATATTATATTTAATGGAAGTTACTGCCGTTATTTGAAAAAATCTAAGGTGAAGGCTGGTGAAATTTTAAAAAAAGTGTAAAACTTTGCGAGCCAGATAAAAAGTAGCAACAATTTGAATCTGGTCAAAGGGCCAGAGGTTGCTCTACAGGAAGGTTTGAAAGTTTGTCTTGTTATACTTATATGATTTATTTATAACTGAGCATTTGCTGTGTTAGGTTATTACTAGCTAAGAACTCATGCTGTCTGAAGTGAACCACCACTCATATCTGTAGAGACCTCTTGGCTATATAACCTGATTCATTGCACTGTTATCTCGTTTCCCACGAAGAAGGTGAATAAATACCTTACAAAGCAAGCTTTTAGTTTGCCTATACATTACTTGACACATTGTTTCTCAGTTTTCATTTTTAAAAACAGTACAATGTCTAAAGAAAATTAACACCTGAAACACTTGGTTTAACACATTGCATGATAGTGCCAGCCATTTTGACCACATCCCAAATGTGCTTTCTAGGGTATTTAACTGCTTTAAGCTGGAAACAGAAACGGCCCCTTCTGATGTGATGAGGGATTGTTAACTTTATATTGTGCCACGAGTTCTCCTTAGCAAGCAGTAATCTAATATAGCAAATCAGTTATAACAGTGAATCAGGTTACGTAGTCAAACTTTCTCAGGAAGGAATTTCATTGAGAGATATCTTCATGTTTACAGTATCTGATGCAGACTTCTGTCTAGTTTGTTTGGTGATCATTTGTGTAAAAGTGAGACAGTTTGTAGGATTTGAGGTTCTCACAGCTAGGAGTACGAAGATGACTTGTCTTCTGGGTTGTAAACTTCTGCCAGACTATGTGGTGCTACAACCTAGAAGACTGTTATTGTTATATACTGCGGCAGACCTAAATTACTAATGAAGTCCAAAATGATCTTGTCAGTAATTATTGAGAAAGATGTAATAACAGATCTCAAATTATTGTTATATATTGAAATTTTTAACTGGTTGACGTGGGGGCAGATAAGATGCTCTTTGTATTACACCATTTTGCTGTTGGAGTCCGGGGCAAGTAGCTAAGCAGTCTCCAAGACTAGCAGCAGACAGTTTAGTTTTGAGTGGGGCAGAAATTTCTCTTATGGAAAAACAGTTCCATTGAGAGGCATTTGAAATCAGAACACATTCAGAATTATCATTGAAGAAAGTTTGTTAGTTTTTGATCACAGTAAACTTGAGGCATGTAAGAAAATGTGATATTTGTCTATATTTTTTTCAAGAAGAATTCCTTGGACTGAACTGTTGATATCAGCCAGATGTAGATTATGTGACATTGCATTTCCATGGTTTTGATAAGTCTTGTTACAGTAAATGGAGTGTTTATATCCTTCACTACCATTTAACAGATTGCCAAGGGTTTATGCATCCAAATCATTTTGTTCTGAAGCTACTAACCTCACTGCATTTCTTGTAAGTTATGGTTATAAATCCTGCTCAGGATATGAGTATATCTTTTCCACTCCATAACCTTTGGTACAGGAAACAGATGACTTTTTTTTTCTCTTTCTGTGGTATAAGAGGGCAGTAGTGTGAACACTGCCAATAACAGACAATAACTTTGTGCAGGATGCTCCGTGCCAGTGTAAGATGACGGTATAAATCAAACTTCTGTATGTGTATTTTCTAATGGTGGCAAGACAAAATTTCATATACAGTGTTATTAAAGACTGTACATACTACATTTTCCAGAGAGTCATATGCATGCTCACAGGATGTTTCCTTTCATGTTTACCTGTTTTAGAATTGTTCACAGTGTGGTTTCTGGAAGATGGCTTGGAATATGAACTTGGTCAGAATAAGTAATTTGTATTAAGAGTAAATTTTAATGGAAGGAAATCAATATATATTAGTAAAGTATATTTTTATATATATATAAACATTAATGTCATAATGAGAACAGGACTTCAGTGCATGATAATTATTTGTGAAGTCTAGTCAAAATGTATTTTGAAGATGTCTGCATAAGAGGGGGCATTTTGAAACGGGTATAGTTACATAGTATTATAGATAAGGTAAATGGGGAAAAAGTATTGTATTTTAATTTATTAAAGTGCAATATTTTATCAGCAGTTAAATTTATGTCTAAAAGATGACCACAGAAGTTACTTGTGACAAGAGCCTCCTCTGTGAGGATCAGTTTATATATGTATATATAGGCTGGTCATGTTATGCAGTGTTCTGGGAGTAGTTCTGAAGCATTGAGAGATTGTCATTCTCACAGAAATGCTAAAAAGAGTCTGTCAGTCAGTCCTGTTAAGGTGAATGTTTCAATTAATAAAACAAATATACTGACACTCAAAGTTTTCACTTATTTTAACAGGTTAGATGTTCTGCCATCTGATTGGTGATAATCTCTCATTGTCTATATGACTTTCATAAATTGAACTGCATAATTATGTAGTTCTTGTTATTCCAAGTCATTTTCCACTGTATTATGTGACAATTTAGAATTGTAACAACTGCTTTGTATGAGAATTACAGTGTTCAAAGTGGTGAGGATATTTAAATCTTAACCTGCTTTCTTGTGATGACTGGGTACATAATTATTAAGTTATTTATGACAGATTTTTACTTACTTTCCACTAATAGTATAGCAGAGGCAACAGATTTTGGTGTTTGTCAAAATGTAGCAACATTATACAGTATACTTTCCATACCATCTCAGACATTTGTTGGTACAGGATTGTATACATGTTCAGCACCTGCATACCAAAAGTGGGTGGTATGTGAGAATTGCAATAGGACAAATTTAGCTTAAAAGACCTTCTGTAGGAGGTAAACTAGTTATGTGTAAGATGTTCATTCTCAGTGCAACTGTTTTTCAAGAATATAAGTTTAATAAATGAGAAAGTGTTAACTGTATTGATAAAAAAATGTTTTATCAATTTTTAGGAATGTCCATTTGTTTTACATTGGTACCTAAAGGATGTGACCCATTGAGAAGTTGGGAATTCTGCATAAGTTCTTTCAGAAACAACGTGATGATCAACAATTCTTTCATTTCAGTTTCCATATCAAACACACAGACAGGCCAACATCACCCCCCACCGGCACTAATACACATACAAAACCTAGATTTTACTACAAATAATCCCAGTTTGTTTTACAACAGCAGGAACTAGAGTAGAGTATTTTTCATGTTCAGTGTCATTTATAAGCAGGCAATAATTTAAATGACGAGAAGAAATGGGATTTTTCAGGGCTGCCAGCACTAACGTGCGTTTGTTTCCCTCTAACCGTAATATAGTGACGTCAGCAAAATGCACAATTATGTCCTTGTACAGTAAGTCGCCTCCAGTGCAACATTCAGGCAAATACACTGCGACTGCAATCACTGGACATCATAAAAGAAGCGTGAAACTACGTATTAACTGTAACTCCAGTTATTACTTTAACGAAATTCTACCAACTCCAGGATAAATGAGAATAAATTATCAATCCTACTGAATTCTTAAACGAACCCATTTCGATACAATTTTGCGAGATATATCGCAGAATAAAACTGGTAATATCTTGAGACTTGTGTGAAGGGTGTAGCAGGTTGTGTAGTTTCAAAATGTCAACAATTGCAAGTCCATTATCAGTAGCAGGCACTCGCTCATCAGGGACACCGATACGGACACAAAATGGTAATGATCTGTAATTTATTGTATTTTTGATAAATTAAATTAGGGTGGAGAATGTCCGTCTTGAGATGAAGCACGCGGTTCTGTATGCCAGCCATATTTGTGCTTGGCTGTGTAATAACATGCGACCATCTGAGTTTTCAAGAACAACAAAACTTGCATTATGTAAAAGAATTTTCTGGTTTAGTATTATAATAAATTACATTAACATTTAACACTTATTTGAACTAAATCATAGTCATCGATTGGGCAGCCTAACCTAAATAATAAGTGTAAGAAAGTTCTGCCTCTAGACAGTGAAAATGGTAGAAGATTGCGTGAGCAAAGTTACTTAACCTTTGGTGATGAATTTTTTTTATCCAACGCCTGTTTTAAGTTGCCTTTCGGCCATCAAGTCACGAGCAGACCAGTATCATGTGGCAAGTTCTGTATAGTTTAACGAGTCTTTTCTTTCTCCCAAGCCCCCACATGTCAAAAGAAAAGCGTCCTTGATGCCTTCTTTGCAGACAAGGCATGTCTGTGTATTCGGAAGTCCGAATCTGTGAAGGTGCTTATGTAGGTAATCATGACCAGTGAATGCTCTGAAATTCACTATAGATATCTGTTTTGGGAGGAATGGTGGAATGTTTTTCTCAAGGAGACTGCAATACTTCTTCCCATTCATACAGGTTTCCGAATCCTCTCTAACTTTCTTGGCGATGGCCAGCTTAATCTGATAAAATTGTTCGCACAATTGCACTGGCCTGCATTCAGCGAAAACTCATTTAGCAAGTAAGATTTTCCAAGGGGCACTGTGTGGAGGCGACTTGAACCAGCATGAATTTGCTCTTACCAGTATATTCAGACCAAATACTACACTTGGCCATGTTGTAAGGGATCTTAGATCATTAAATGAAGTTCATACCAAAGAAGCTTGTAGTGGAATGACAGGAAAGGGTCCTCAATTATCAGTCTCTGAGAAATTTGATAACATTCAGCTGCACATCACCTCAGGGAAATGAACCCCCAGTTCCTGTTGAGTCTGGATACAGGCCAGAAGAAGAATTCCTTTTTGCTCCTTTCGATGGAACCATGGCCATCCAGTCTGCAGTCACTGTACTGTTTAATAAATTAATCTTGGGTTACCAGCAGTTTTATGTGGTTGAAAGCCAAAAACACTGTTTTGAGAACCATCTTCAGTACAACAATGGTTCTGGAAACACTGGTGTTCTTGCTTTTAATCCACCGGACACGGCTGATAGCCAGTCACTGTGACAGCTTCAGATCATAAGTCACTATAATGATTGAGCTACCTGAACCCTCTTTGATCTTGTTCACTTCAATATTAATAATGATGGTTTATTTGTTATGTGAATTGACAGTTGTTCTCATATGATGTGATCATGTTGAAACCATAAAAGGAAGGAGTCCAGTGCACTACCTTGATCACATCACTTAAAGTCAAGTGGCATCTGCAGTGGATGACATCTTTGTTACATAACCCACAAACTAATCATTAATCATCTTATACCAGTATGACAAATCACAATTATTTATATAAATGTAATACTGTGGTCAAGAATTCCTCTTAAGGATTGGACATTTCTTCCATAAGACCTAGTTCATTAATATTAGCTGTGATTACCTAAAGGTATTATATTATAGAATCAGAGAACAGCTGAAACACAAAAGTTCAGTGATAAGAATGCCTTTCAGTCTGCATTATTTCCTCTGTTCCAGTAATGGCAGCTTGTTCCATTGCCAATATTGTGAAGAGCTCATTGGGTCCAGTCGGCCTAGACAAGATGTTAGTGGATGACATTGGTGTATGTATTCTATAAAGTTATATGGTCCATTGAAACATAATGATGGCAAACTGTGTCTGCTTTACAATTAATTATGGTGAAATTTAAAAGTATCTGATTCCTAGAGCCAATAGCTTGTTCACTTCAAAGATTCGGTGCATATTTTAAACCTAATTTTGACTATTGTTAGCAAAATTAGATTTCATGATTTTGAAACTTATATATCTGTTTGCTGATTGTTTGATTTGTTGTGTATAATTTAAAATAAGTCCTGGTGATGTATCTTTTGCTCATGATTTAAAAGTTTTTACATGGAAAGATTTCTGTAAATTTGAAGATAAATGCAAAATGTAACGAGTCATTGAATGTTGTGGTAGGATGTGACTGTTACTAATGATGGGGCCACTATTTTGCGCTTACTTGAAGTGGAGCATCCAGCGGCTCGTGTGTTGGTAGAACTGGCACAGCTACAGGATGAAGAAGTTGGAGATGGAACTACCTCAGTGGTAAGCAGGTTGCTCTTTTCTTTGTACACCCTTCCCATTTTAATATTCACAGCCATTTTATGATTTGACACCTTATAACCCATGCAGTTCAGAAGGCATCATTAAAACAAGAGTAAGAAGCAATATTATTTCTGTCCATATTCTTTTTTTAGCTTTCCTGAAATGAAGCATTCTGCAACTTGTTTGTGTTCCCCAAAGTGACGACAAAAATTGCTGTAGTTGCTGACGTACATTATTTATCAGATTAGGTGACCAGTTGGCCTGATTACTAGGCTTGCAGGCAAGTTGAGGCTTTAATCTCTGGTTCTGCTATTGTATTTGATGCCCCCAGGTGGTCAGGGGTATCTAAGCTCAGGGGAACAGTCGCCAACCTTCCTCTCTTGCTGTGTCAGGTTCACCACCACTCAGTACAGTAAATCAAGTTAAACAGGAAGATGGTTGTCTCCGAGATTGTGGAGCTGTGTACCAAGATAAAGTATAGCTTTTATAGGAACAACAGAAGCAGAGAATAGCAATATGTCAGTCTGTCTGAACAACACAGTTACCTTACGCTGAGAGAAGAAGTGAGCATAATACAGATCAAATTAAATGGAACAGCGTTCGTAATCTTTCCTTACCTATGCAGTAAACAGCTTGAGCTCAGAACACAGAGTCAATGGACTGTGCACATATTTAAGCAACTTGTTTGAAACAAGAATTTGACTAGAGTTTGTATAAGTAGAAATATGAAGTCACCAAATGTAAACTGAAAAAGAAATTGCTCCTTCTCTCAAGGGTAGCCCCAGTACTCCCCCATTCAGTGTCCTCAGGAGAAGTAACTCACTAGAGTAAATACATCTCAGTACATATTAACCTTTATGCTGCTGATTCTGTAATACTACAGGCTTGATTCAACATGGCGCCCTTGCTGTGCTCGCATTCATATGGGTGCATTGTTTATAAACGCATGTCATCCATATTAACTTTCAGACTTGCCGTGTGTATACTTCCATCTACCACGAACGCAATGAACTACAAGTCACATCTTTTTCTGACTTTGTTTGCCACTTATAAAGGAATTTTGAAACTACTGCATCTAGCAGTTGGAATACCTTACTCTGCTCGTAACCTCACTTTGGCCATCACAAGAATAGTAAAAATGATATCCGCTAGCAGGCCCCATAGGCTGTGCGGAATAATAGATGAGGAAATTACAGACTTATTGACAACACAACATGCATAAAGTGTTTCTTAGTACTGCACAGTCAGTGTTCTCAGTCTGTTATGAACACAACCAGTGCTTCCTTGAAGAGATGGTTATATTGCGTTATTTCTGCTGTAGGTGATTATAGCAGCTGAGTTGCTGAAAAATGCTGATGAACTTGTTAAACAGAAGATTCATCCAACGTCCATTATCAGTGGCTACCGACTGGCGTGCAAGTGAGTTGGTGATACTGTCCCAGAATTACAGTACAATAAATAGATTGTCACATTAAGTTATTAAATAAAGATGTTGTGATGGAAAGCTGTTATATTTGCATTGAACATAGGTAATTTTTGAGACATTTTTGGAGAATACATCTTTTTATAAGTATTTACTTTAGCTTCACAAGCTCCAGAGCTCCTTATGGCACATCAATTAAACATCAATGACCTGGAATGTGAGATGTTGAAAGTCTGAGAACAGAGAGAGTATTTGTTTACTTTCTGAAACTCATGTGTTTGTTATGGTTTATCATGTGATATGTTTCAGGGAGGCTTGCAAATACATCCAGGAGCACCTAACCGTTAGCGTGGAGGAGCTGGGCAGAGAGTGCTTAGTTAATGCAGCTAAAACAGCAATGTCTAGCAAGCTCATAGGACCGTATCCTTGTTACAGTTCATAGTGAGGAACGTAGTAAAATGCAGTGTAGAAACAGCCATCCTTGGTTGCTTTATGGGGTTATTAGCGATATTAGTTACTTCTGGTTGTCAGCACATTAAAAGGTCGTGGCAAGAACTTGGAAAGGAAACTTAATTGTTAACCGAAATGTAGTTAGAGGCATTTTCCTCACATTAGATGTAATGGTTAGAACAGGTCCCAGTCCGAGAAAAGGATGGAAGGATCCTGTTCATAATATGTCGCCAACCTCCTGTACAGGAGACGGTGTAATAAAGAAGGAGGAGGGTAATATTAAGGTGGATTATAGATACATAGGTTCTGAAGATGTGAACAGGCTGTAAGGATATACTTTTATGATGAAGGTGATGAAACTTCAGGTTCCGTAACAAGAGAGAATTTCTTGATCGCCAGAGTAACTGTCAACTGCTGAAAAAAGAGATGTGGAGTGTTTTTTTTGTAGTCAATACCCTAATGTAATTGTCCACGATTAAACATCGCATTTGAAGTTGACTGTTGTGTAACCTACGAATGTATGGGCTGTTGTTATGTGATTCGTAAGTGGACTTGATGCAGATAAAAATACAGATTGAGCTTTGGTGGGGCTACATCTGGGAAAACAACGGCATGGAAAGTTGAAATTTGAATGGGAAAGTAATATTAAAAACAGTTATATGGAAGTAGTTAGTGCAGACTGGGCTAATGTAGCTTAATCATGTTCATTGATGGGCTTCATTGTCAGCAGTGTTGTTGGTTCAGGTTCTGAGTTATGAGCATTTGAACTAATGTAGAGTTTTCAAAGAGTGCAGGTTTTGTTTGAGAGTTGAATGCCAGCCGTATGCTGTTCCATTTCTTAACGGTAGTCCAGGGATTCAGAGTATTTCTCGAACATGGTAGTGGATGCTGCTCAGGCAGTGAAGGTGTCAGATGGCAAAGGTGGCTTCTTGTGCCCTGTGAAAGCAGTGAACATTCTGAAAGCTCATGGCCGTAGTGCCAGGGAGAGTGTGCTGGTGGCAGGATATGCCCTAAACTGCACTGTGGCATCTCAAGGTGAGCAATCGCGGGCTTTTTTACTCCAAGCGTCTGCATGGGTAAGTGCTGACACAGTTCGACCAGTACAATTCCATTTACATTTCAGGAGGTTAGGATAAATATAATTTTTAACTATAATTTTGCCTTTGCAGCTTCAGGCTAAAATTTAGTATTTTGTTAGTTTTATCCACTAAGCTTTGGAATGTCCTTTTTATGGAACAAATGGGATGTATTTAAAATTGTTGCTGCTAGAAAGCCTTATTAAGTCCGTAGTAGGATATGATTGTCACTGGTGGTTTCTCATATCAAATTGATGAATGTAACTGTAGTCTTTTGTGTGGTTCTTCAAGTCTGTGAATTTGAACACTAAATTGAGAAAAGTCTTGAACAGATGAAATTTTAACATTGTGATTGTTGATTTGGGATCATTGAAATTGGAGGTGAAGTGAGAAAAACCTCAAATTTTGGAATGTTAAATAGGGGTTTTGCTGTATTTGTTTTTATATCAGTGTGAGTTTCTCTGAGGGAAGAACACAGATTGAGGGTATTAAGAATCAAGTCCTGAGCAGAAAATTTGGGTCTAAGGGAGAGGAAGAAGGAGGATGATGAAGAAAATGATGGTTAGGTGATGAAATTAAATATTAGCTATGTTGCCTTAATGACAGAATTGAAAAAGTAAATGTACGTTTCTGTTTTTTGTTGTTTTTTTAACTTGAAGGGAAGAGACCATTTGGGAGACATATCTTCTGGATTGTAATGCCATAAATTCTGCTAGAAGTTTCCTAATGTTTTGGAGGTGCTTGCTGCCTCCATCATCATGACCCTGATGGAGGCAGCAAGGAGCTTTGTAACATTGATAAACTTCTAGCAGAATTTATGGCATTACAAGTCAGAAGATAGCAGTCTTCATACTCACCACTGTGAAAACCTCAAATTCCACTTAGTCATATAAATGAATCACGTCATGTTCTGTCGAGTCGTTTCCGACTCGTGACCTCATGAACCCTGCTTCTCCACATTGTTCTGTCTTTTACTTTCTCCTTTAGCTTTTCTGGATTTAGCCCAGTCAATTTTTGATGGAATTTAACCATCGCGTTCTAGGCCGTCCATATCCCCTTTTCCCGGACATAGATCCCAATACGATATTCTTCTCCATTGACTCCTCTGCCCACATGATGTGGCCAAATGAATATAATATTAAAATGAAACTTAGAAGAATAGGATGGCTAGGTTTGAATTTACTCAGGATAGGGTGCAGTTGTAGGTTTTTTTATGGTGATGAACATTAGACTCAAAAGATGCAGGGAATTTCTTCAACGGTTGTATAACCATTTGGTCAGGAATTTCCTTCACTGGCGACAGATTTAACTGGTAGATGGGTGGTTGAGTAAGACTGTTTACTGTGTGAGATTTTAGGTTCTTACAGTGGTGAAAATGTCAATGTTCTTTGGTTATTATGCACTGTAGATACCATTATTTTTGAGAAACTTACTGCCTCCATCTTCTGAATCGTATCTACCTATGAGTCCACACTGTGTCACAACTCAGAAGAACCTTAAATTATGTGTAGTAACGAAATGCTTGTGGTGTTTATTGAATTCTTACGCAGCAAATTTGAATTTTCAGCTATGCCAAAGAGGATAGTGAATGCCAAGATTGCCTGTTTGGACTTTCCTCTGCTGAAGGCTAAGATGAAGTTGGGTGTACAGGTGTGTGTTGGTAGAAGTATGCAGTTTGGTTATTGTATTATTATTATTTCGGTCAGGAAAGACCATGTCTCTGTGGCATTGTAGCTGCTAATGGGCCCGTTGTCCATCCCCCAGATGGCACATGAGTGAATATGGAGCACTGGTGGAATGATATTGACAGAAGACAAAAGCTATTCCAGTGCCACTTTGTCCATCACCAATGCCACATGGACTGTTCTGAGATTGAACCTGTGCTTCTGTGGTGAGAAGCCAGCAGCTAACTGCTTGTGGTGTGGCATGGCTTAAGCAATTTAGGTACTGTGGCAACCCCCAATGTAGTGTTTTTTGTGTTTTAATCCATGTAGTGTTTTTATTTGTATTCTTAATGATGCAAAAACTTTAAATATAGAAACAAAAGAAACGAGTAATTTTCTTGTTTCAATCTGGCTTTTCGCTGGTGATCAGAGTGTTTGGAAGTTAAGGAGCCAGATGGGGCTTTGTTCTGAATGCATTTCTGTGTTCTGATTACATTTTCCTTCTATGTTTTTACCAGTGTACGCAGTTCTGTTTCCTGCCAAAGTTGCTGTACATCTATGTGAATTCACTGTTATTCCTACTGTGTTTGGTGTACTTTCTCGCATTTGGTCAACTCGTCTTGTTTATATTCTCCAGAGTAGTCATTCAGTTTCATTTTTTATGCTTTTTAGTGATCTATTGTCATAACACGTGGCCATACAATGACTGTCTTGATAAACTGATTGTTTTGTAAGCACAAAATCACAATTTTAGTGTAATTTGGCTGCATATTTCAGGACAACCAAGTAACTTGAGAGCAATAAAAGGTGCCTCTGTAACCTTTATTGTCTGTGTGCCATGTCTCACACATGATCCAGCTGACCATGTGTTGCAGTTGCAGGATTAAAGTTTAGCCCCATAATATGGGGCTTTAATACCTTAATTAATGTTTGATGAAGGTTAAAGTCAGTTCTTTCCTCAGTCTTTGTGTGATACACAGCAAAGTAATTTAAAACATTTTTGGAAATTATGTTTTTTGATTATTTGTGTTTTGCTTTGTAATGTACTTCTATAATTTTGTTTTAATATAATATGAAATTATCTTTTTTGGCAATTTTTAAAAAAAATCAGGATATTAGTGTTTATTTCAGAACCTTGAAAGTGAAGGGTAGCAGTGGTAATGGATAATTGATTATTTCAATGTTTGGGGGGGGGGGAGACTTTTTAAGTGTCTGTAGTTTAACTTCTGCACAAATCTCTTAATACTCACCTGAAAAATAAAGCAGTGGCCTCTCTGCTTGGAGGTGTACTGGTTCTTCCTTAGGGTCCAATTTAATATTATGTAATTTTGTGTGCACCCCTCCTCCTGTATACCCCTTATGTAGTAAGTCTGATTAAAACAGCTGGAGAGTTTGTGAGGTATTTACTGTACATGGCCACTTGTTTTGTGCTTCTGTCGCCATTTGTGTTTCGAATTGCATAAAATTCCTATTGTTTTGAACGTGTGTGATAAAGAGGTCACCCACTGGTAGGGTGAACTGACATGTTTTTATGAACAAAATGCAGAGGAGAATATTGGACACAGAGACTGGAAGTGACGAGTCGGCGTAGCTCAGTCGGTATAGTGACTGGTTACGGACTGGGTGACCGGGGTTCGATCCCCGACGGGGGCAGACTGACCACTCACCCCTATCTAGTGCCGAGGTCAAGAATGAGTAGGAGCTATACCTCCTCTCCCCCCAAGCGCCTACATGGCGTATAGTGGGACAGCTTTTTTTAGCTTTGACTGGAAGTGACAGTGGACTTAAGACAACTGCATAATCAGTTTTACAGTTTCACAATTTTAATCTTTACATTATATTGTATTGGTGATCATGTCCAGAAGAGTGAGACAGGTTGGGTATAAGAGAAATAAGAAACAGTACAACATTTTGATAGGGAAATTCAGACAGGAGGCTAATATTACAATAAATCTTTGAGGAATATGATGTAAGGTTGTGTAATAAATTGAACTGATCTGTAATAGGGTCTGGAGGTATGTTTTTGTATTTCAAGTGATGAACCTTCAGGCTCAGTAATTATAGGGACTCTCTTGACAACTAAATGACAATGAACTGTGTTATTGAAGTGTTTGAAGCAGTTGCATTTGTTTGCAGGTTCTTATAACTGACCCAGAGAAACTTGAAGGAATACGACAACGAGAATCAGACATAACGAAAGAGAAGATAGAGAAAATTCTGGCAGCTGGAGCAAATGTGATCCTGTGTACTGGTGGAATTGATGATCTTTGCCTAAAAGTAATTAATTTCTATTGCAGACCCTTTGACATGCCTAGCATAGTAAATTATATTAAAATGAAGTATCCAATGCTGTGCAAACATGCCAACGTGTTTAAATTAACTGGTCTGGTAATGCCATGATACAGAGAAATGGCTTTGTAAGAGGTTAAAAGATAACATTGTCTTTATTTCAATTGATTATTAAACATGTTTTGCAGAAAACTTGTTAAACAAATCAAAGGTTCATTGATGCTGCATGCTATTTAAGCAAAACTGTTTTAGTAGCTTACAAATTAATGTTCCCCAAACTAATTCTACCCTGAAGTCTAAACTTATAAAATTCAAAGGAATTACTTCTGGAAGTCATTGCAGTAGTTGTACCATCACATTTGGTGTGGAGGAAATGCTACTGCCAAGTTGTGGGGTATACAGCATGTATGTTGACATAGTTACATAAAGCTTTTTATTTCCCTGCTCCCAGTAGGAACTGCATGAATCGCTGTCAAGCACTACAAGACTTCCCAATACGAGTCAAGTATTTTGCTCCATAAAAAACAATAAAATTTCTCTCTATTATATGAGGTGCTGACAATGATGTTCCAGTGCACACATATACTGTCTATACCATTTAAATAGGTTGAAATTAATCCAAGGAAGTTCCTCTTTAGGAACTTCCAGAATTTATCTTTCTATGTTCTTTTTTAACTGTTCCTCAGTATGACCTTAGTTCTGTAGACTTTTTCCTTCAGATTTCCCCATAAATAGAAATTGCATGGGGTGCAGTCGGGTGAACGTGCGTCCCATAAACCACGACTTATTACTTACTCACCAAATACCCCTTCCAAAGTTGTTACAAAATTGTTTGCAGTGTAGAAGTTGCTGAATCCTGCTATGGTGTACTGTGCAAAATGTGTTTCATTTTATAGACAATTGCATATCGAGTTCAGATTTGTATTGCAGAAACTGTAATGCATGTATGCAAATTGTGGCTACTGACAAATTTATGACAATAATGCGGTTAATTTTTTCTATCATTTTGTGAATTTAAAGTTTGTATAGTTCCTTTTCAAGGAAAGTAAGTTGGTACACCCCATGCAACAAAAATAAGGTGCTTGAATTTTTAAAAGTCCCAAACCTGAAGTGATGTAAGAGTACAGTTTACATCGTAATTTGTCATTTGTAATCTCCTTGTGTTTGTATGTGGCTTTTCTCTCATTTCCATTAGTTTAAATTACTTATGTCAGATATCTATAAAGCAAAGCCTAAGTTGAAGAAGAATGTGAATTAATTTTACAGACTCTTCCCAGTTGTGTCTAGAATTGACAGAGAAGCGAATTAAAACACTTAAACATTACTTTGGTCATCTACATCTTGTGATAATCTACTAGATGTTGTAGCAAAGTGGCATTGACAGCAGTTTGAATATACACATTTATACTTTTTTTTAATGCATGCCTTGTATTTGCACAGATTACTCATTCGGACTTGCAGTTGTGTATTATTCAACTGTATGTTTCAAAATTTCCACGTGGAACTGATACCAAGAGCCATTAGATATGGACACCAAAGTATGTGATGATTGGAAGAGATTGTGTAATTTTTGTATTTCTATAAAGCACACACCAGTAGCATTTGTTAACAAGCAAAAATGTAATTATCACTATTAACATTCCCATTATCAGTGTACTGTATGCACTGCATTGGTGAGGCTACATGTGTGAGGAAAGCAGATATTCCCTAATTTTTTCCATGATTTGTTTATTGGCATTCTAATTTAAAGGTTCTGTGTTTGAATCTGATGTAGACAAACAAATTTATTTGTAAAAAACACATATCTTAGAAGTGTTTTGTGTCCTAAAGTGTACCATTTACTATAGAAAATTAAATAACATGTTTGCCCTTGCGATTGCCGTTTTCAAGACCTGACATTTTTAATAAGATTTTATACACTTGATTTTTGTTGCACAGAGTGTACATGTGGTACCACCAGATGAAAAATATTAGTCACTTTCTTCAATTTGGCTGCTGACAATTTTGTGATGCCTGTCTCTTGTTCAGTGAATTCTGCGGTGGATGTTCTAACCTGGCACATTTGTCTTATAGTTTTTCTTCAGTAAGCACAAGGCGTTCTTAGCAGGTTCCTTTTGCAGAAGTGACCCAGTAGACCTAACTCTCTTGATAAGATTTTGGATCTTGTTGTGCGTGGAACTGCGACCCTGGGAAATTTATGATGAAAATTTCTCCAACACTTTCTAGCAGAACCACATTTCACATATAATTCACACAGAAAAACATGATGTTAGACACAGCTGCACTGTTGTGTGAATAATTTTAGTGGCAGTCGCTGTTAGTGCTGGGCTGTGACTCATACAGTTACGGATGGGAGCCAGGAAGAGATAGTTGAATACAACTGTGTTAGCAAATCTGCTATATTGTTTTAAGATGTAGACTGTTCTGTATAAATTTGGAAGTATAGGTGCATTTTCTTGCTCACAATTATTATTGCTGAATTGTTTGCTGTTTGCAGTATTTTGTTGAAGTCGGTGCTATTGCTGTGAGGAGGTGCAAGAAAGCTGATCTGAAAAGAATAGCCAAAGCTACTGGAGCTACCTTCCTTACCTCACTCTCTAACATGGAAGGTATGTATGAAATTTTTGCATGGAATATAGGTTTGACAAACAGTGATATGTTTGGCTTCTTTATTATTAGTTATTATGACCTGTTGAAGTTGACAGGAATCAGCCTTTTTGTGCTGAACAGTAATATAGTTTAGTGCAAACCACATTGAATGTACAAATCTTATAACATTTCTTTATAAACAAAATTAATTATGAAAACATATCATGGCAACTGGAGACAGGTTCCTGCCAAATGCACCAACGCAGAACCTACTGCCTGACTCCGGACCCCACAATAGTCATCGTCATAGCCTTGCTTACATACCAGAGTCACCCCCACGAGTTTCAATTTGGAGGATGTTTGCGTTTAATGTGAAGGGTTACTGTAACCCAGAGTGGGTGTAGTGTCCTCCCCACTATCAACAATGACAGCAATTGCATGTGCTGCAGGAGATGACAGCTTCGATGCCAGCAATATTGGAGAGGCTGCTGAGGTGGTGCAGGAGGTCGTGTGTGACGATGAACTTATTCTTATCAAGGGGTGAGTTTTGCCATTCAGTCTCTGAATAATTTAAGAGAAAATAATCTTGGATGTTGTTTATTTTACAAAAACCTCATGCAGTTGATCTTATTCTAATTCTGAATATATGTTAAGTAAGTAATGTTCTTCAAAGTGACTATCTCTCGTCATTTAAAATATATGGTTTCATCCAAGTACGACAAATGGGATTCCACTTTTCATTGTGATTCTCTGAGTGGTATGTGTTGCTATCCCGTTTCTTACATTACACGGAAGAGATGGAAAGTGGATTCAGGAGAACAAGGGTTATAAAAACAAGTAATTTTTGAGAATTAGGTTTGACTGCCAGTTTGTTTGTATCAGTGCAGTTTCTTATACTGTTATAGCCATAGACATTTCTGAGAAATGTTAATCTTAGGGACTTAGTAGGTTGTTGTGATGGGAGGTGGATGACTGAAACTGTCTCATGGTAGGCATTGATGTTTGTGTTGGTCCTTGAGGTTCTGCTACTAGACTGTTAGTTTGTTAATTTCAAAATATTGACAGAAAGAAGGGACACATGAATGGAACACATATCCTTCTAATCCCAAAGTCTGACACTGAATTTTAGGGCTTTATGATTACTGGATTAGTGCGCAACCCATCGTCATCAACCGTTGATGTTTCCAATGGCGACAGGCGGGTTGTCCCATGATTAAGCCTCTTCCGTTCTTTTGTATCCTTCCATGTACTGTTTTGTACCTGTGTTCTCTTTTTCCATACTCATATTTGTTTTATCTTCCTTTACTTGATCTTTCCAATGGTTGCAAATTTTTATTTTTGAAACTGAAGGTAATCAGTCCTTTTCCATTCATACATGGCACATGTTCCAAGTGCTATTTCCATAATTTAATACATTTTTCTTGTAGCATGTTTATTTCCATATATTTCTTAATACCACGATCTCAGATTTTGTCTCTTATTCACTTACAGTGGACTCCTGCTTAACCAGTGTAAGTGGGACTGAATCATAGGGTTGTAACCCTGTCTGTATGGTTGGCTATAATTTTATTCATTATTTTAGGTCTTTAATTAGGATGCATGGATACATTATCAGTTGGGGAGTCTTTTACTTAACATGCAAAAGCAGGTAATTTTTATGTAAGATTTGAGGTTTTCACAGCAGTGAGTATGAAGATTTCTGTCTTCAGGGATGTTGCGCTGTGTAGTCTGGTCATAGCCCTGATGACAGAGGCAGTATGACCTCCGAAACGTTGCTAAACATCGACCAGACTACACAGCGCAACAACCCAGAAGACAGAAATCTTCAGGTAATTTTTAGCTGTATGATATTACTAAACAGGCTCTCAATTTTCGTGCACACAAACTGAATCAGTGTGAAATGTAACATATTACATTACTTCTTAAAATCTATAGCAGTGTGTTGAACACATAATGTTGATGTTCAAAAGGTTGACTTGGATTTGATGTGTTTCTAAATCAGTAGTTTTGCTGTGTACACAACAGCAAAACATCCACATAATATTGGTGGAAACAATATTGAAGAGGATTTTTTATTCTATTCCAACAGTGACCCCCAATTCATGTGGGTCGCTTAGTTCCTAGGAAAAATGTGACACGAGAATTGGCCATTAAGGTGTTCATTACGTCTGATGGAGAATGAAGGACGTGTAACAACTTTTATTTATCCCAAAACATGTTTTGAGTAGCTTTGGTGAAATGTGTTGGAAGGAAATTTAGCTGGGAAAGTTGAAGAGTTTAAGGAGAAGATAGATGCTCTTTAATCCTTTTATATGGTAACCATATATTTCATTCATTGCCTGCAACATTTACAACTCGCCTTGGACAAGTGAGTATATTTGTTTAACCCGTTTTTCAGTGCAATTGTTTCATTGGCACACATTAAAGTTGGATGTCTTGTTTGCACAGCCCAAAGGTTCGCACAGCTAGCTCAATCATTCTGCGAGGGCCCAATGACTTCTACTGTGACGAGATGGAGCGGTCAGTGCACGATGCACTGTGCGTGGTGAAGAGGGTCTTGGAAAGCAAGAATATTGTGGCTGGGGGTGGCTCAGTGGAAGCAGCATTGTCTATCTATCTTGAGAACTTTGCTACTTCTCTGGTAAGCACTGCTGTCTGAACATTCAGACTGGTTCCCATTGATGCAGGGCTGTGTGGGCTCTGGACACCGTGGTAATGCATGGAAAGTTTCCAGCATTCCTAATGGGAATCAAACCATGGCTGTCCAGTCCCTGGTCAGTTACTTTACTAATTAAGTAGCCTTGTCATTATACTCTTTTATAAGAAAAGTGAGGTTATGTGTTTATTCACTGACAACTTTTAAACCATTTTATAATTTTTATTGAAGTGGATTTAAACATTGTGCCATGTCCTAAAACTTATTTTTCCACCATTGATGAACAATATAAACATGGCATTTGTCCAGACTCCATAGGTGGCAGTAACAGTAGCACAATTCAAAATAATAATCTGAAATTTTGAGTTATGATGGACCTTAAAAAAATTGAATTTATAATGTGTTTTTATATAGCATGTAAAATAATAGCACAAGACCGATGGGCCCTTTCAAGCCGTGACCAGGGAATGCAAAAGTGGCTCCTGTACTTTCCCATATTCTCACATTCAAACCACCATTCTTTTTGCTCTTTGCGTCATTCTTTTTGTACCTCCTGGTCCCTTTTATGTGTTGAATATGCATCTGAATTATGGTGCATGTGTGTCAGCTTCTCCTTCCTTTTTCAGTTTATTTCCAATTTATTTTCTTAAGGTCCCTGCCTCACTAGTAGGGATCTATCTTATCTCTGTGATGCTGTCCAACAGTTTTGTGTGTGAACGCTGTCTCTCCTTGAAGAGCTTAGAAGTGAAGATTAAATGCACCCTTCTTATTGCCCCTAACTACAAGATGCAGGTATGAAACCTTGGTCTTGATTCCTGCACTCCTCTGTAGACTCCATTGTGATTGGTGGTTTTGTTAGGAAGGGTAGTGTGACGATGTTAATGAGTTGGAATGCAAGGTGATCAGCCATAAGACCCCTGAGTGATGTGGATTTAGATTGGGGCCCTGAACAATTTATACTCGAGGAGGCTTAAAGTCATATGAGGTTTATGGTTATCAGACCTTGGTGTCTGTAGGGCTATTTCTGCTGATTTCCCCATGGTTAATACTTTTTATTTCAAATGTTTTTGTGTAATTTTTTCCCAGTATTATTTGAGGCTTTACTCAAACAATTTTAATGCTCTTAGAGTTCACGTGAGCAGCTGGCAATCGCAGAGTTTGCACGATCTCTTCTTGTGATTCCCAAGACACTGGCAGTGAATGCTGCGCAGGATGCTACTGATCTGGTAGCCAAGCTGCGAGCCTATCACAATTCAAGTCAGACCAAGGTGGACCATGCACATTTCAAGTGGTAAGTGGAATGTCAGTGGAAGAGGAAATGTGCTCTTATTAGCTTTGCCATGTCTGTCTGTGTCATCTGTATGCATATAAGAACTTTGGTATGGTTAAATGGATTTCCATGAAATTTGAGATGTTTAATATTATTTGTGAACACATTTCACGTTTTTATTAAAACTGGGCAGCAGTAATGGAATGGACACTTTATGAAGTTCTACAAGTATTGTATTGTATTGTACATATCTGAGTGAAAATATTTTAACATTTGTAGAGAAAAATGAAACATTTTACATCCAATACATTTTTTACAGGAGTCTTTCAGTTTTCATAATAAACTCAGTTGGGAAGATATAATTTCTACAGGAGTTTCTGCATGCATTCTGTGTATTCTGAACGCTCCTAGCTTTGCATTGCAATCCAGGTTAAATAATTTCCTCTACTATTAACACTAAAACAGTTGGGATACTGTAATAATTTTCCAGTGCACGGTAAAACAATCCAATGTCAACGCAATCTGGCGGCTCAAGAGGGGGAGGGGCAATTCGTCAAGCTGAAAAAATGAATGCAGCATTCTGACCCTTATTGTAGGTTCAGATTCATTATGCCTATAGTATACATTTTGAAAACATCTTTAAAGTTTCCTTCACTCCTGTACAAGCATTCCTCCATAACTCTTCATGATTTATTTGCTGGTATTATCTGAAATTGAATTCAGTCCTTAGCTCAACAATATTCTGAGGATAATTAGTGTAAGCTTTACTATTAAGATAAACCCACAGGAGAAAGTCAACTTGCACCTAAATGTGGGGATCTTGGAGGCTTTGCCAAAGAGATGATATTCAGAAACAACAATGGTTCAGAACAGTTGAGCAAGAATGACATTACCAGTTGAGTCTTTTTTGCTGACAGTTTGTCAGACTCCTAACTGATAATGAAGACATATCAACAACTTGCTTATAACAGACGAGGTTCACTGAGCATTTTTTTTAATATGAGCATTAATCATCATTAGAATGTTATGAAGACTAGGGATCAAGTTTAAGAACACAATAGAAGCAGATATGTCATGAAGAGTAGTGGAATATTAAAAGAATGCTTGCAACAGGTTTCAGGCCACCTTAAAGATGTTATTTTCACTAACCGAAATGTTAGGATAGAATTTTAAAATGTTTACTTCAGTTTTATAACCCCACTTTTTAAAAATGAAGGATATCTTGTTGCCTTATTCTATTTAAAAAGTGTCAGATTATTGTCCTGGACTCTTTGTAGTCCAGAGGAAGATGCTTTGGCTTATCATCTAAAAATATATTCTTTTTGTAATACTGTAATAGACTAACTAAACCTATCAGTGATAAGGTTATAGTTGATGATGATATTTTCTGTCCATAGGGTTGGACTGGATCTGTATGAGGGAATAGTTCGTGACAACAGGAAAGCTGGTGTCCTGGAGCCTGCAATTTCCAAGATCAAATCCCTGAAGTTTGCAACTGAGGCTGCCATTACAATCTTGCGTATTGATGATATGATTCGATTGGATCCAGAACGCAAGGATGATAAGTCGTACTGAAATGCGTATGAATCAGGGGAACTATAGGATGGTATCAGCAAGCATTTCACTTCTTGTGGCACAGGAAATGGTAAACTTTATGATAAAACTTACCCTTCATTTGTGTTAATATTTAGCTGTTCTTTATCATTTAAAAAGTAACAAATTGTAGCAAGTTCCTGTTTTTTTTTTAATTTTGCATGCTAATTTTCTGTTATGTGAAAGTCTTATCAAGTTGATACACATGTCTTTCAATAAAATTTCATAATAAAGCTTTGCAACCACCTTTTTTGGGCTATATTAATAATTTCAATCCTGTTCCCTATACAAAGATGAATTAAAGTAGTATTTCATTGTTATGTGACTAAAAATGGTGAGTGGTAGTTAACCTGTTTTAAATCCTGCTCAGGACTGAATTATCCAGATTTCCTTAATTCCTTACAGAATAATTCAGTAATTCTTTGTTACATATTTTGTAAATGATACCCCCCCATACTTGTGAAATACCAGTAATGTAAACTTGTAATCCTTTGTTGATATGATAAAAATGCTCCAGTGAACTTGATAGCCATTACATGGGGATTTTGTAGTGCTTACAAGTGGTTGTTGTGAAGACACCTTCATGTGTGAATGCTGCTTCATCTGACTGGAAGATACGCTCCAAAAAGCCTGGATCACATGTTCATTTTCCCATAAAAGTGACTTGCAGTGTTAAATGATTGTGATGATAATCATGAGGCATGATACCTTAAAGTCCTGAGTAGTGGTATGGTGGTCCTCATCATGGAGGATTAAATATACAGCACAATGTTAACACCTAACTCTCAGGCAATTCTTTATGTATTATGACATAAATTCTGTCCCGTCATATCCAGAACCATCTCTTCAGGGGCTGGTGTGTGTCAAGTGTGTGGTTGATCATTGGGTAATAGTGGAGTTGGTAGGATGTCATCAGCATCCCTTATTCTCTTGTCCAGCTGGAAAAAAACATTACTGTCTGGATGGTGTGCTGGATACTTTTCTGCATCTCGTGGCTGCATCATAGGTCTAGTTACCACAAGCACAAAGGATCAAATACATATCACAGTGTTTATGAAACATGAAGTTTATTTTACTTACCCTTTCTTGCTGATGTCTTACTGTCATGGGAAAGCTGCACAATACAACAGTAAGACTACTGCTGTGTGCTGAGTGTTGATTGCTGTTGAACATGAAATTGCATGGTACTATCTTCATATTTCTTGTTCTCTAAGTCTCATTCTATGACCCTTGGTCCTTCTAAGATGTGATTAATGTACATGCCCAATTTGATTGTTATGTAAAAATTCCTTTCAGAGAATTCCTTCTTTTGTTTTGTTTACAGATTCTCTACCCATTCCCATTGTTATTATGTAATGTTTTTCCTACATCTTACTGCCTCAATCAGCACGGAATTTCCTTGATAATTGCAGGTAGTTATCACTTCTGAAACGTAATTTGACGACAACATGGTGCAGGATCCCAGACTTTCACATGTTTGTTTTTGTAAAATTAGTTGTTTCTGAATTATGGTCGAGGTGGGACAGGGTGGTATTGAATAATAATTAGCATTGTTACCGACTGAGCTATGGAAGTGGTTTCAACCATGGATTAATACTAACTATTATCGCCAGATCGTTCTCACAGTAGTTTCTCGACAAGTGCGGATAGTAAATTGTCACAGACCACAGGGCATGCCAACTTTTACCATTGAGTTACCGATGGGCATGTTGGTATTCGTGGTGTTTTGTCGCTAGGGGTATAGGAAAGTATCTAACTTAACCAGTTAACCTACAATTGATACACTATATGTTAAAAATACGTTCTTTACTGAAATGTGGGCTTATGTAAAATTTCTGGTATTATAAAATGTAGTGATAATTTAATTTTTATATATCTGAATGCATAGGGCAGCTTAGCGAATTACAGATAATTAAAGAGTTTGGGAGATTCAAATGGATAAGCAATAATAAGATTATATTAACATTGGCCCTAATAATGGCAGCTGTTAAAGGGCTACACAACATGACCGCAAATCCAGGTTCTCACGTTCAATCAGCCGTTTTGCTCACTTGTTTACCAACAAACTTTTTTAACAAGGAATTACCAACTTTAATTTTGAGGTCTCCTCAGGAGACATTAGGTATGCCCAGTTTAATGCAGGCAGAGCAACAGGTGCAACCAAATTTGGGTTATTCAGTAGTTCTTGGAAGTGAGAAGTATGAGTTGTTAGGATCATCTCCACAGGAAGGAAAGAAGATTGAACTAAGAGATGGCAACAAGTGTGGTGATGAGCAAAACACTGACCTTGTGTTGACTACAGGAAACATGCATTCCAAACAAAAGACATGCAGTGCTAGACCAGTGACCCATATTGAAATTATTAGACAGAAGCCCAGTGTGGTAAAAAAGAAGCATGGTGCATCCCGCCGTGTTACCGGTGCAAATCGAGTGGTACCATTGATTACAAGCATGTGGCAGAAACGAGAACTCAAAGGTATTGAACCATCTCTAGCAGCAGTGTACAAAACAATTCTGGATGATCCAGATACTGTTGATGAACACAAATGTGAAGCATGCCACAAGCAATTCTTGTCAGTCACACAGGTAGAAAACCACATTAAGGAGATGCATCCTCAGCAACATGTAGTGCTGGAACAGGTTTGTGAAAGTCTTGTTGCTGGTCAGATAGCTTATTTCAGAACATTTCTTGCAAAGCTCCACCCAGTTTAGCAAATACTTAGGAGATAATCTGTAAGGAATAAAGAATGGAACATTTTTAATATAATGAGCATGTAATTTAGCATTTTTAAATGATAATCAAACTTGTTGTAGGTTGCAAGGAGAATGATACATAGTATAACGCCTCTTCTGTTTTAATTCTATCATCTTCATGTTGTAAAACCAGTTATTAACAAGGAAAATAATCATGATACAATAATAGCATCTTGTGTGGAGAAAATGCTACTATAGAATTTAAGTTCAGTTAGTTAAAAAGTTTTTAAGAAATTGGGTGTGGACAGGATTCAGCTGGCTCAGAATAAAGCTCTGTGAACATGACACTGAATCATTTTATCCCATTAAAGGCAAGAAATCTCTTATGATCAGCTTCTCAGACTCTGTTATGGAAGTCATTTGTTATTAATTGTTGGTTTGCTTCATGGAGTTTGTTGGAAGTCATATAACAAGTGATGACTTGAAACAAGAACATGCCAAGTTTCTGTTGTAAATTTTAGTTTCTTTTCAGTGCTTTGTGTGTCGGAAGAAATACGTTTTCCAGTCCCAACTGAAGTGCCACCTGTCAGAAGTTCATAGAATTCAGTACCCAGAAATGATATGCAAAATATGTTTCATGGAATTCAACACAGTGATGGAACAGAAAGCACATGAGCGGAAACATGACAAAATCTATTCCTGCCAGCACTGCTGTGCCAAGTTTGCATCAGTGTATCTTTGTCAGAAACACTATGAGAAGCACCTGGTTGATATGAAGCCTTATCAGTGCTTGTCTTGTGGTAAGAGATTCCAGAACAGCATTTCACTGAGTATCCATCGCGTTCGGCACAAACATTCAAAATGTTTGATTTGTAATGCATTATTTGGAGAAGAACTGGAATTGTTGATGCATGTAAGGGCTCATGGAATCCAGGGCAAGCATCAGTTTTTAGCAGCAGTTGAGCAGTTAGACCAGGAAGAGACACAGCTTGAAGACATGATGAGCGTCTACTTAAAAACAAGCACAGAACATCATCCAACAGGCATGGATAAAGGTGAAGGAAATATCTAGATTTTCTCTTAGCTACCTCATCTCTCATGTCAGTATAAGGCACTGGAACTCTTTCAGAGGCTTAATACAGCTGTCAGGGATGTCTGTAATTATATTTTGTCTGGGAACTTATAATACAGTGTTAAAGATTGCCAGTATTGGCAGACATTTACACACAGGAAATAACAAGTAGATCTAGGATGTGAATTAGGCAGGGCACACAATGTTTACAGGGTGATAACTACATTCGTAATTTGAGTTACAAAATTTCATAGAAATCACGAAAGGGTAGTACCGAAACATATTTTCTTCTTCTATGGCTCTCCAGTCCATATTCGGTCCATGGCTTCCTCAATTCTCCTCTTCCATTCGGTCCTCTGTTAGGTCTGTCTGTCCGTGGCTTTGATTGAGGTTTCGAAACATCTTCCTTTTTACGGTGCAAGGTTGTTAGCCTTGCGACCAACCCGCAACCTGGAGGACCATGGTACCTGTCTTAGTCTGACGTCTCCCCCTCGACCAATCTGGCTAGGGAGGCCCTACCAGTAGCTCTTGGGGTCACTGAGGTACTCAAGCCCCACCACCTCGTCAAGGTGTAGGTACCATTAAGTGGGGACTGAAACATAGGTTAAGGACTTTTCTAGTTCATTGGGGGGCTTTTGTGTGATAGTCCCATAACAGCATGAAATTAGCAGTGTGCTGGCTGAGAATTGTCCCATTCCATTTTCAGGGGTCAGTGACTGTATGGAAGGTCTGCTATGTGCAGTCTCTCAGGCACTAGATGCTGGTACTCCAGAACCAGTGTCAGGCAAGAGAGGGGTGGAATGCAAGCTGTGTGGACTTGAGGTTCAGTCACCAAGGGAGCTGGTGGAGCATCGGCGTGACAACCATGTGCGTAGCTGCACATGTCTGGTCTGTGGTAAGAGAAGTCGTTCTGTCAGCCAGACATGGCGACACATAGCCACTCATGTTGACAAGGTGAAGTCCAATGAAATGGTGTGTCTCATCAACAAGACTGAACAACAGTGCCACATGTGTCACAAGATGTTCCCATCAAAAGGGAAGAAGAATTTCCATTTGGAACACGTGCACAAGGTTAGAAAGAACATATACATAAAGGTTGATATAGGTGACTTTTTTTTTTGTATCCAGTACACACCATTCAGCATGGTGTGCATTGGTGGTTAGCAGGATTCACGACCCATCAGTTTATGGGTTCGATCGGGACCACAACATTTAACGCTCCTGCTGTGACCCCCTTTTTGCAAGATGATGATGAAAGTGGAGTAATTGTTGGGATGCCATGGAGAAACTGGGGAAACAGCGGAGAAAAACTCCGTGATGCCTGGACCACGGCCTTGCCCAACACAAGTTGTAAATCTGAGCGCCGGGAATCGAACCCGGGACCCCAGTATTACAAGCCCAGCGTTCTAACCGCTAGACCACCGTGGCGGTTAGAGGTGACATTGCCATTTAAGAAGTGACCAAAAAGTTAGGGATTCCCAAGCCTTGCTTCTGTAAATCATTTGTGTAATTATTATGCATAAATACTAAGAAAGATACTTGTATCCATTTCCTACACATGGTTGCATATGTGCATGTTGAGAGATTATTACAATCTGTTGATACTTGAAACTTGGCATCCAGTATGGAGGCCAATTTACACACACACACACGCACATGGGGCAAAACGAAATTTGTGCACAAGCTCTCCATAGTGTGATTCCTTCTTAAAAAAAGTGTGGCTTCCAGAGGTATAATATCTGTACAAAATTTAATCGAAGTCCATATGGAGGTTCTCAAGTTCATGTGTGCAGATGGGTAGACGGACAGACAGATATGGTCAGCCTTGTATGAGGACAGTTATAAATGTAAGGAGGTTCACATACTCTACATCTAGGAGATTAAGTGAAGGATGAGATAAATGGTATGTGTGTGGGGAAGGAAACATATTCCTACACAGTATTTTCAGAGAAGTTGTCTTTTGTAATTATGGTGTTGAAACTTCGATTTCGTTAATACAGGAAACTTCTTAATCAGCTGAATAATTATCACCTGACCAAGGATGAAGTTGTTCTTTGTTAAACAGTTTTTTGGTTAATTGATTAATTATACAGTGAAGTGATTAGATAGTAATTCAGTCAGTATTAGTGATTCGTAAGTTCCAAACAAATTATCACACATAAATGTATAGTCCATTGTAGGAAACGTACATAAGACGCTGTACTGAAAGTTAGAATGGCCGACCGTCATAAAATCAGACCTGTTTCTGTCATAAATTTATTCTCTTGCAGATTGAGACCGTCCAGCGGCCGCACTGCTGTACAGTTTGTTCAAGAAAATTCCAGCATAAGACATCAAGGGACAGGTAACTGTAGGCCTCACAGCAAAACACTCGCTTGGTTCATGTGTATTTGAAATCCAATGAACTGTGTATAGTGTGTGGTTGGGTGGGCGGGCAAGGTGGCGAGTGGATAGGTGCACAGTTAGATGGACGGATAGTTAAGATTATGTGCATTCCACAGACCGTGGTTAATCAGAATGTGGAATTGGGCACTGTGCAAATGAACACTATAATCGAGTAATTGTAGAACAAGTTAGGAAATGTACAAGCCCAGCGTTCTATCAGGTTGGACACCCCTTTATATTAGACACTTTTAATTGGAACCGGCAAATATCCTATAATTTTACATGTCCACAATACCCTATATTTTGGACACCCCTTTATCCTGGAACTTGAACACCCCTTTTGTTGTAAGTTGGACAGGTTCACGCACTTAGCTTCAATGCTTTTCAGGTAAACTTTGCATTTGAGTTCAGACTGTGTTAACAGAAATGGAATTTTTCTTTTTGCGATGGGGAAGTGAAAATTGGTGGAATTAACTTTAGAAAATGTTATTGAGGCTGGAGTGTAATGTGCAATGCATGGGAGTGGGCTTCAAAAGATTATTGTTAATACTATTGTCATTAATTCTTAATTCAAGTAAGCCTACAGTAGTTAGTGTATGTAAGTAAATAGATTATATTGTCATTAGACCACAGTCTGATTTTTCTCTTTTCCTCTATCTTGGACACCTCTGTAAGTTGGACACATTTTCATGGAACCCCAAGTGTCCAACTTAGAGAGGTTTTACTGTATAACGTAATTATCTTCCGTGTACCAGGATTTTACCTTTCCAAATGACAAAGTTTGCGATTCTCCGCTGTGGATTCCCAAGCCAGTCACATTTTTGGACAGAGATGCACATAGGTTCTTCGTGTAAAGTGCATGTTATTGTTGTCTCATTTTAACCAAAATTGGAATGAAGTTTACCAACGTTTCAGATGTTCTTTTTGCCTCTGTTATCATCACCCTGATGATGGAAGCAGCAAGGACCTTTTACTAAAATGTGGTGTAACTGTTCAGATTTTATTGTGAGAGGAAAGAAATTCACTGTGGCAGTCAATTTTACTTGTCTGTTCTAGACACATGATGCTGCATGGGAAGGACAAGAATGGCCTCAGGTGTGCAGTGTGCAACCAGGTGTTCCTGCGACCGAAGTTCCTGGTGAGGCACATCAAAGAGCATGAGTCCCACAATGAGTGCCACGTTTGTAATAAAACATTCTCTAAGCGCAGACAGCTCAAATTGCACCTCAGTGGCCACAATCACAGCATAAAGAAGAAGTGAGGCAGTTTCATAACTTGTTGTGATATGAAAATCTTCCAGCTTCTCATCTACTTATGTCACTAAAAACAAATGTTCGCAGGTTCAAATGCTCACTGTGCTCGGTGACCTGTCAGGGTATGGCAGGCCTGCGGGAACATCTGCGGATCCATACTGGTGAGCGTCCCTACAACTGCAGTCAGTGTGAAAGGAGCTTCAAACGCCTGCAGGTACCAAGTTGTATACTGCTGTTACTTCTTCTTCTTCTATGGCTCTCCGGTCCGTATTTGGTCCGTGGCCTCCTCAATTCTCCTCTTCCATTTGGTCCTCTGTTAGGTCCATCTGTCCGAGGCTTTGATTGAGGTTTCGAAACATCTTCCTTTTTACGGTGCAAGGTTGTTAGCCTTGCGACCAACCCCCAACCTGGAGGACCAGGGTACCTGTCTTAGTCTGACCTCTCCCCCTCGACCAATCTGGCTAGGGAGGCCCTACCAGTAGCTCTTGGGGTCACTGAGGTACTCAAGCCCCACCACCACGATAAGGTGCAGGTACCATTAAGTGGGGACTGCTGTTACTATTATAGTACAGTAGAGTCCTGATTATCCTTGTGTGGATTACTGATTTGCAGATTATCTGTGCAATGTAATTTTACATAAATGCAGACGTGTGAACTAGGTTGTTGTCTTCTCTCTGTGTCTTTTTTTTTGGGGGGGTGATAATTTAGGAGGGTCTACAGAAGATGTGGTGAAACAATACCATATTTTCTCATTGCTGTACAGTCAGTATCAGTGGTGAGGTGGGGAGGTTTGTTCTAGTGGTCATGGTGAGGGAGAGAGTGTTTGGTATGGGCACACCTGAATATTAGCATCTTATAATCATTTTTGTTACATTGTCCTGTGCATCACGGTGAGACAGCTGAAAATTGTAAGAAATTTATATTGATAGTAAGACAAAAGCTCAAGCTACATGATAAATTTGAGAATGGAGAATTGGCACCAGAAGTAGCGAGAGGTTATGGGGTAGGGATACAGTTATCGCATCCATTAAATGATGCAGCTGGGCTGACCTTTTCAGAATTCTTGCTGATGAAGACCATATAATAGCAGTACGGAAAGAAATGATGATGTTGGATTCGATTGACCTGCACAGTGTATGTTGTGCAAGTCTTTCATAAATGCAGTATTGCTGGTTTGATCGTAGAAGAAACTTATTCTAGATCTAGAAGATGATTTTCAAGGTTTTCCTAGAAACATCATCGAGAAAATACGCTAATTTCAGAATAATGTGTTCCGTTTTAATATAACAACTTACTCTCTGGTTTATTTATTCATATGTGCAGGCCCTTAAGAAACACGTCAGGACCGTGCACTGTGGCCCCAGTGCAGTGAGTCATGCCTGCACCAGTTGTCCAGTGGTTTTCAATAACCGAGGTAACCTGCTGCGGCATTTCCTGCGCATTCACCGTGGACTGCGCCGCTTCATATGTGGGCTCTGTGGTGCTCGCTATGGGCAGAACCAAGACTTACGGAGGCATCTCAAGGCAAAGCACCAAGTGGACATGCCGGTCATTTCATGTGTGGACAAGAAAGCCATCAGCGAGGTAAAGTTGCTATATGGGATTTGAGGTTTTCATGGCAGTGAATCCAAAGATGGCTTTCTTCTGGGTTGTAGCACCATGTAGTCTGGTAGAAGTTTACCAACGTTTCAGAGGAACTTGCTGTCTCCATCATCAGGGTGATGAGTAAGCTGTGTGTGTGTGGAATTGGTTTGAGGTGTAGGAAACTGAAAGTCGAGACAGAACCTTGGCGTGACCAGTGGGGAGTGGAGTCAGAAATCAATAGGGAAGGGGGCATGCCATAGCCTGGTCATCAGGAGGGGTGAGGACATAAAAGAGAGAGAGGTCTGAGAAAGGGGCCCTTATAAGATTAGTGTGCTGAGTACACAATATTTTATTTTTGAAAATGGAATCATTTCAGTTAATATCCTTTTGATGTAGTCATTTCAGAAATCCATATTTAGAGATTGAATATTTTAATGCCAGCAAAAATTTAGTTAACCAGGTTAGGAATTTTACATTACTTTTTATTTGTGTGCTTAGAATGACGTACAATCTATCTTTATTGTTTGTGTTAGAATTTGTGTTATTTAATAAATTCTTATGTGGAATACAGTGTAAGAAATCCTGATACCATCTTTTGTAGCAGTTTAGTTTAGAAATTGTTAGGGTACGAATGAGAGATGAGGATTGCATAAGGCAGTCCCATTAGAAGTGCATGGCCAAGATCATTCTTCGAACAAGCCGAGGTTTATTGAGAGAGACCAAACGTTAGTCATAAACATGTTCAGGGGTGACTGATGGTGGCAGTTCACTTGTGAAGCAACATCATTTGGGAACTACATAATGATACAAATTAGTCTAGTGTAATTTTCACTGTAAAAATTTATGCAGTAATACTGATGTCCAAGTTACACTTTCAGGACTTTTCCATAGACTGTGTGGATGATAATGATGACAATTTAAACAATCTGTTTTCCAGATTTATGTCCTGCCACCTATCAGTAAGTTCCCTAAGTCACATCCACACGCAGAAAAGATAAACAGACTTGTGGCTGAGGAAAAGAGCAAGCTTGAAGATGTATGTGAGGTGCTGAGTAAGAGAGAATTGGCAACAAAAGAGGTTCCACGAGAGGATCTCCCAGCTCACAGAAAGTCAGATCAGATGAAACATTCAGCTGGCAAAGACAGTATATCTTCTGATGAGGCAAACCAGTTCATAAGTTCACAAGTTGGCAGTAGCACGGATGTAGTCTCTTCCAGAATGATGGATCACAAAGCTGTTAATATGCCCCAGCATCTTGAAAACTATTCGTGCAGTACTACAATAGAAATTGGAGGTGCAGAGATGCAGCAGCAAATACCAGAAATCATAGCTGAGAGTTTTGTTCCATTGGTTGGGGGTTTATCGTCCCAATTCAACAGCATCATGAACATGCAGACATGCAGCCAATGCCACAAAGTGTTGTGTGGAGAGACGCTAAGGAAGGATGGTTCAGACAGTGTAAAGATAATTTGCAAGAATTGCACGGATGACTGTGAAGCTCCAGAAAATGGCTCAACTGACAAGGTAGTAACCGTATATCGGTGCGGTGTCTGTTTCACGGACTTCTTTGAAAGGGATGTTCTGGCCGGACATATGGACGAAAAACACAAGGTGCCTCCTGAACCAACATCAGATACAGTCATGAAAACCTCTGCAGGGTTTTTATCAAACATGCATCCCATTATCACTAATCCTTCTGTGCCAAATGACATGGGGTTGCTCTGCCCGCCAATGAACCTGCTTCTACAAAATGTTGTTCTGCAGCCGAGACCAGCTGTTCAGACATTCAACAGTCAGAACATTCTGGTAAATGCTACCCCCATGCTCACTCTCCAGCCTTCAAATGTGCCAGCACTGCTGACATCTGCACCACAGACTTCTACATTTGTAGCCCCTGCAGAAGTGCTAGTTGACCCAGGAAAAGTCCTGCTACCAACTCCTGTTCCTAAAGTTGCTATACCAAAGCTGAACTCAATGAACAAAGCCAGCGATAATAACAAGATACTCTCGAAGGAGAGTGCAGTGGATAAGACTGAAGTCAAGATCTCAAACATGCAATCACCCGAGTGAGTTCATTTCTAATCATTGTTTACAAAATATACATGATATAAAATTTTCCTTGAGCAGATTTTATGAGCATTCCCTTTACAGACCTGCAGAGAAACATCAATTAGGGGCAGATTGCATCTGCAAACAGTGTGGGAAGAAGTTCCATAACAGTACAAGGCTGGAGCGGCATCTGAAGACACACGAGGGTACGTATAAGAAGACGATTTATGTGTACCATGTAAGTAGCTTTAATATTTGTGTTGGCCAAAATTAATTTGTGCGGTAAGATGGATACAATCCTCTGGAAACATATATACAGATAGATATTAACCCAAAATTCTATGTGCCCAGAACTTCATAACCTCCTTCATTTTACTGTCTTAAGAATGAATACAAGGTGACTTGTTTAAATCATGAAGTTCTTATCTTACAATCTTCCAGACTTCGTACATCTTAGGTCCTATTATTTTCTTTTCTTTTTATGCACTTCTAATTATGTTCTTCTGTCAGAGTAGGGGGTTGGGGACATTGTTATGTTACGCAGATGACTTGAGAACCTACTTTCTATGTAAGCACGTTTGTAAGCGACTGCTGTAAGGTGATAATAAATAGTGCTTAGTGTAGTGTAGATTGACAATAAAGGCAACTAAATAATGCTGTTTAACTACAGGCTTCCATTCAGTTTTTGGTTGTTTCCTCCGCATACTTAAAGACATCAACTTTTGGCAGGGGTTCGACCGTTTGGCTGTGCTGTCTGTGGTAAACTTTTTACGGAGAAACACAACCTCAAGGTACACATGCGCACACACACCGGAGAGCGCCCATACACATGCACAGAATGTGGAAAGCAGCTCAGGTATGCATAGTGGCTATGTCCGAGGTCTAACTAACTGTGATTACTAAAGCCTGCCACTGGCCCCACAGTGAGTTAGCCCCTTTTCACACTCAACTCATGAAGAGAAAGTACAATACTCTCCCATTTTAGCCATGAAGTTCGGTAACCAAAATGTTGGCATATCTTGTTTCTGTATTGCATGCTACATGTTACAGTATCAAGATTAAAAAAAAGAAAAGAAAAATTGATAACATGGACCTTTGACAGACTTCAGGTACTGGCTAAGCGTACTGCAGAGAGACTGTTCAGTACGCTACATAATTATCAATTTATAACTTCTGATAACTTTCCTGTCTATATATATATATATGGAAGCATTTAAATAAAGTTAGGTGTCATAATTTGTTTTGGTTCAAAACTGAGTCAGTTAATTTTAAAGGAAGCTGCCCTTCCAGAGACACTTTACAACTGCAGATGTTGAAAATTGTGGCACTTAATGTTTTAGGTACCAGAAAGATTTTGCAGATCACAAGAAAAAGCATCTTGGTATGAAGCCATTCGAGTGTACCGAGTGTGGCCAGAGATTTCTCCGACAGAGGGAGCTGATGCGGCACAAGATAACTCACACTGGAGAAAAGAAGTAAATTATATGTTTTGATGGTGGGAAAGCATGCATTCTGAAACCCTGTGACTGCACAAAATTTCCAGACCCTTCTTCAAGTAGCTCTAGTGTTATTTTCACCTCTGAAGTTCACCCAGCTGCCACAGTGGTGTCATCGATGTTAAGAAACTGGAAAATACATGGGCGAGGTCATCTCTAGCTGCACGATACTGATACCAGGTTCCATTAAATTCTGTCAGTTGGTTCAAAAGTTATTGGTGGGGGAACACGTGGACAGGGTGAGACCATAAACCTCTCTTTTAGGAGATAGAGCAAACTATAATGGGTTATAATAACAAGCCAAGGAAGAAATGTTCAGGTGTCAAAAAGGCGGAAAGAATGATTTTTTTAAAAAAAGTTAGTATACGTAGCAAACTAGGAGTATTACTAGAGAGTATGGTGATAATCATATTTCTAAAATTTTCAGGTTTATTACTGAATTATCTTCTTACATATAAGTTGAAACAATGTGTGTGTTTACATGTTTATTTGTATGTACACTTATAAATTGAGAAGAGATAAATTGATTTGCACCAAACTTGGCATGCTGATTCCTTGAGATCAGTAAGAGAACAGAAGATCAAAATTAAACAAAATTTTAAAAAAAAGAAAATGTCCTGAGTGTTATTCTCAATAAGGGCAGTTTTTGTACCTTGGACATTGAGCATGATAGAAAAAGATGAAACTTGTTTCTTTTGAAGAGAAGATTGAAACTGTCCTGAGTTTGATTGCCTACAAAAAGCTTTCAGGCAATAAAGATTGATGAGGAATGTAAACATTTGTTGAATTTTCCTGCAGTAATACTGTGGGTACTCTGCTGATTCTCGGTATCGCAGTCCGAGATGCGTACCTCTCTAGCTGTAATTTACTTTCTTGCAGCCAGAAGCTGCACATTCTTGTATCACTTTCCACAGGTACAAGTGCCCCATATGTGACAAGGCTTTCACCCGTTTAGACCAGCTGAAACTTGTGCATATGCGCCAGCACGACACTGCACCGGGACCTTCCCCCTTTGTTTGCTTGACGTGCCATAAGAGTTTCAAAGTTAAGGGCAAGCTGGAACAGCATCAGATCCTACACTCAGGTACTACATCAGATTAGAAAGGAAACTGTGCACAGCATGCGACTTCTTTTCTCATGAATTAATGTAATTTTGATTCTTGCTGGACTTGGATTATTTGAGTACGCTGCGTTATCCGTTGCGGCTATCGTCGTATATGTACAGAAAAAAATTTCTTTGCATGTAGTTTGTGCTTGTGCTTCCTCAGCTGCTCCCATCAGTTACTTATATCTTTTCTTTATTGTATTACGCGCGGTCTGAGGCGTGGGCCTTGTGCTTGGTCTCTGGGACCGTGGGTTCGAATCCCACTCAAGCCATGGATGTTTGTCCCGCGTTTTTCTGTGTTGTGCTGTCCTGTGTACAGGTAGAGGCCGTGTGACGGGCCGATCCCTCGTCCTACGAGTCTCACCGAATGTCCATAGATCAAGCCAACTGAAAAAGTGGGGGACCCGTAAAAGGGTACCGGAAAATGTAGAAACATTGTTAAACCGGAAAAAGAAGAATAATTATTATATTACTTGCAACATATTTCCATGTTAATTGTATGAATTAAATTACTTTAATAATTATGAAATGCATGGCTAAATTATTTTCTAAGTTTCCCAATTGTGCTTTTTCAAAGGTTTTTAATATTGCTAAATGTCTTTTATTGACATGACAAGGATCAGCCATTTATGTGATCTGTTGGCAGTGATAATAAACGAATATTCCAATAAAAGGCTTTGCTTTTTCCTCCCCCAAGGACACACATGGGGACAGGTTAGCTAAGGACAAACACAGCTTGTATTTATTAAGTATACAGAGTTAAATATCGATCAGGAAACCACCTGTAATAATGGTTTTCCCAAGTCCATCGAGGTTAATGCCAGGATGGCTGTCTCTTTAAAATGCCTTTTATCCCACCTTGTGTGGTCAGCGTCTTAGACATCCCGTGAAGCAATCTGAATACACGCACATTGTGAAGTACTGTGATGAAAAAGCTTTAAGGTATCAACTCAATGTGTGAAATGGATTCGAGACGCAGTGCAAGTGGTAGAAATGAGAAATTCGTATAAAATTTTAACTAGAAATCCTGAAAGGAAGAAACAATTTGGGAAACCTAGATGTAGATGGAAGAATAATAAGGAAACAGAGTTTGATTTTGTGGATAGCATTCATTTGGCACTCGACGGTGACCAGTGATAAACTCTTGTGAACATTGTAATAAGCCTTCAGGCTCCATAAAATTCAGAAAATTTCTTGACTAGCAAAGTGACTACCGGGTTCTCAAGAGAAACTTTGTTCCAAGTAGTTACCAACTGTATAAGACACAAGAGAGAAGATAAATGTACAGAATTGATGTAACTATATATGAAGGAACTTTTCAGTTTACCAAATACTCTTTAGCATAGTTAGGATTGCAAATCTTATCAATCGTGTGTCGCTGCTTAGACACGATCCAGCAGACCATGTCTGGCCGTGTGTCACACTAGAATGCAGCTGTTCCATTAAAACCAATAGTTAACATCCAGCCAGCAGCCCTTTAGTCTGAGGGCTTAAATCCCATATACCCATACCATAAAGGTTCGGTAAAGGAAGTTAAGCAAGATTTAACGACGTATCTTGGATGGAAGGAACAAACAATTTATACAGAATTTTGTAAAGTAAAAATTAAAAGAGGTGTCAACACAATTTTAAAGATAATACTACAGCCTATCTTGGATGGAAGGAACAAACAATTTTTACAGAATTTTGTAAACTTAAAAGAGGTGTCAACACAGATTTAAAGATAATACTACAGCTTAAGGAAATACGTTTCAATAAAATTGAAGTTGGTCCGCTTGTTTTTGGCAGTGAATCTTTTTCTTTTAATGCCTGAGATTTGGTTTGTTCATTTATAAAGCTCATATATTCTCTTATCAATGTCAGTTTTAAAAAAATGACGTATGCAATTAATTGTGTTTTTCTTCAGGCCAGAAGAACCACCACTGTCCAATCTGTGATAAAACTTTTGCTCTAGACGCATATTTGAAATCTCATCTTAAGACGCACAAGAAGCAAGATGGCTACATCCAATGCGCCAAGTGTCCTCGGAGATTTGCTTCTGAACAGACACTGCAGGTAATTCAACATGTCAGCTGACGTCAATTTTCTACTAGTACGTAACTAACTCTGTACGTTCAACACTCCTATTCAACAATCTCCATTTTATAAGTCTTTGGCGCCTCGTGGGCAGTTATCCAGCCACAGACGTTTACTAAAAGTTCCAGACCTGACCCTCATACCAGATTTGGCTGAATCTTATGCAGACCTCTAACCTCCACCCATGAATAATTACTAGCGACCTATTTCTCTTTGAAATTCTTGTATGCACATCACATTTTCTCGTAGTGTGCTCCAATATTTTATGATTTAATGTTCATTTCTCGTGTCACAAAAGCCCAGCATTTCACGCCCAATGCCAGTCGGTTCTGTTTATTGTTTCACCAAAATATATTTTGTCATTTGCCTTTGCGTCTTTATCTTTGCTAACTATCCTGACCAGAAAGCAAGTAAAATGAATGTTGTGAAGGGAATAACAGAAATATCAAGGTGGCTTCCCAACTGTACTAGGTTCATGACGAGAAGTTTCATGCGAGACTACAGAGAATTACAAAGCAGTCGAAAGAAGGAAACAAAAATAAGCCGAAGAAACTGAGTATACTCCCAGACACAACTCTGCTAGAACCAGAAATAGACATCACAGACATGGAGGAAATGGATGGAATCAACCTGATGGAGGAGGAAGATGTCATCCTTGCTGACGATAACTGCGACACTGTCATCTACCTGCAGATGGTGCCAGGCCTAGACCTGCCTCTTAACAGTGATACCTCAGACTAATTTCACGTGGTCTGTCTTGTTACAGAGTTAATAAACGCAAAGCTGTCGCATTTTCTCAGAATAGCGGCATGCTGAAAACTTGTTTTCTGCTGTTGCTCATTTCCTTCCTTGCCTGTCGTAATAGAACCCAAAAATAAACACCACTTATAGCAAACCCAATCCAGAGCCCCTCCAATCCATGGAAATTTAGATAATTGTTGAATATCAATTAGTTGTAGAATTTATTGAGTGTGTTTGGTCATGGGGTGCAATTAAGGGGTGATTCCAGAGAGAGAAAAAATATTTCAGGTCGTCATCCAACAATCCATATTTCATTTCACATGAAACAGCAAAACCGATAGAAAAAGTACATGTCACTCCCTTACGTCCTTCGTGTTCGGTCACTACAAGAGTATATAAATATTCGTATTCTCTCTCCTGCATGGCTGGTCATCATATATGTACATTTTTCATGAAAATCAAAAACTGATTGGAACATAAATACTCTTCAGCAATAAAAATATTACTTAAGTACTTTCCATTTGACAGCATCAGCAATACTAATTTGTTGCCAGTGGGACATGCCTGACTCAGACATGTGACTGAGCTATATTATACGAAAGTAATTAAAAGTGGTTATATAAAGATTTTCTTTTTCAATACCACACGGTTTGGAAGAATATATGTATCGAACACTTTTAGAAGTATAACAGAAACGAACTGTTCATTGATACCACTAAGACTTTCTGCAAGGGTGGAGGCAGCCAAGAAATAACCCTGGAAACATACGTTGTGGTCCAAATCTAAAGTTCTTTAACGCGTTTTTCGTTAACAATTTAATTTCCAGTATTTGGTACTTAAAAATTTTAGAAACTTTTTAGACGTAAATACGTCTATACGGACGGGTCATTCGGCAAAAACGGCGTTACGAAGATCCAGCGCCGAGTCACCTTTAAACGTTCATTCCTCAGGAATGGTAAGAGTAAGGTTAATGTAAAAAATATGTAAAATGATCAGTAAATAAGGACCTTTAATAATCTGTAATGTATTTTATTGTAATTATAATTGTTTATGCATTTATTGTAATTTTAATGAACCAATGTGTACAATTTTCAATGCATCTGGCGCGTTAAATTACATTACATTACATTACAGAGACGTAAATATAATTTAAATACAGAGACGTATTTACGTCAAATTCTCCGGAACCGTGGTTCCACTGTAACTTTTTCCTAAAACTCTACAAGGGAGAATGTACCTAGTTTATCCGCCCACACCGTTCAACACTTTCCACGCCGGCGCCACGAGCAGCGAAGAATGTCATTCATTGTCATTGACACGCACACACAATATCTACTCTAGAGGTCGTCTACGCAGGAACACGTGGTAAAAAGGAGTTTAGTTCCGGTTCAGAAAAATATAGTTAATTGAGTATTTTGTTAGCTTGGCACAGAACACTAAAATGTTATTACAATTAATCTGTCTTTGTAGTCAAAGTATACTACGGAATGCACTACAATATCTTGTATAACATACAGTACTATGTTTTTTAGGCAGACGAAGAACGGTTCACTTCCGTCATGCGCAGCTTGTAGATACACGCTCGATCTTTCTACGTCAACATTTCTTCAAGCAGGTGGCTGGTAAATTGTGGTTTCGAGAAGTTCGGTGTGGCGTGTGACTGTTGTAACTTATTTGGCGATGGCACCGAAACAGAGAATGCGAATTGCCAACGAAAAAGCTAGTAAAAATGTTACTCTGCGAGGGAACGTTCCAAAATCGTCTGTAAGTAAGACGACCCATACTGGGACAGCTGTCAATTCATATACAAAACGTTTTGTTTATTTGACAGAACTATCGTAAGGCTAAGAATTTTGATGTAAATAGATAGTTATATTAGATTATAAATAAAATGCTATTAATTATTGGATTATATATCCGTGCAGTCATAACAACATACATGCATATGGGATTTACTTAACCTCAAAAAATGTAAAACGTATTAAATCGTGGCAATTGCCTTTATGTTTTGTGTGTTCTGTCAAACGTAAGGCGAACGAAAATATTTAAATAAAAATATTACAGTGAATGACGTAAATAGTTGGATGAATTCTTGTATGTATTACATTGAATGAAGAATGTAGATAGTCCACCAATGTTTTTGTTGTGAAGCAGGATTACTGATAACATCCATCACGCATATATGACACTGATTACATGCATGTCCTGTACCTCATTAATATATGCCATTTGTGTTACAGAAAACTCAGGACGAAAAATACCCTGTTGGACCTGGGTTACTAGCACTTTTCTTATTTGTTGTATGTGGTTCAGGTAAGGCATTAATGTGATTTTTTACTAACATATGTATATTGATTGGAAGGGAGTTATTTGTAAAAACGAATGATGTATTCTTTTCATATTACAGTAATAATTATAACAACAGCAGTAACCTCACACTGATCATCTAATTTAATGTGGAAGTCTTGTTATGCAAGTTCATATTCAGCCTAGTGGTGTAACGAATGATAAAAGGTTACTCTTAACCAATACTGGCCTACCTCTTTAAAGATTAGCGACTTGTAAAGGAAAATTGGTCGACCCTCAATAAAATGTTATGCAGCGGTTGGCAGTAATGTTTCTAGTGGATCCATTCTGGTTGAAATTGTAGCGGATTGATCAATAAAGGGTTTCGTGATTTCCTGCAGTATGTACTGGCCAATGCTGTGCTGGTTTAAGTAGGCCATGGCCTCTGTGTCCCTCATAGCATCTTCCTTGAGCAGTTAATTCATGTGGTGAAGAAATTTTGTATTTTCATGGGACCCAAAGGTCCTGTGTTCATAAGAGCCAATCAGTGGACACCGTTCAATGTATTTCATTTCTTCCACTTTAAAATTAATCTCAATTTGTTGCCAAAATTGTGGTTTTCAGGGTGTTTTGTGTCAGAAGGGGGAGGAGTTATGAAATTGAATTTTTTCTCAGAAATCTTGTGTTGCATAAAAAACCCACAAAGATTTGTTTCTTGGTTTGAAGTATTTCCGCGGGAATGACATTGAAAATTGGTCTACCAGCATGGGCAAAACTTATAAAGCTACGACACAGGTATTACAACGGCGTGAGGCGACATCTGCCGAGATGTCTCCTGTCTGTGTTTTTGTAAGTTACATATGCAGGGTGGATTTCTTCCTGCTTGACCGCAAAGCATTGGCCATGCAGGTAGTTGGCTTGCCCTGACCCGCTGCACCTTTACAGGGTGCCAGTTGGTCAAGGTAGGTCCTGTTATGCTGCGCGCACTTATCACACAGCAAACACCAATCTTTGAGTAATGAAGAGGAAGTCTGTCTCGCTAATTGTCGAGAAACCAATTACAGGCATTTATTACAGTAAACTCTCAGTTTAATGGATTTTGGACTCAATGGACACTGTCTGGTTTTGCCAAATGCTTTTTGGATGAGGCATTAGTAGGCATTTTTGGTTTTGATTAACTTTGTGTAATTGTCGGTATTCAGTTCATATTACTGATCTGTTTAATGTTGTTGCTAATGGAAATGATGGTTTAAGGATGTAATACTGGCAGCAGAAAAGCAACTGTGCAATTTAAGGGGCAATCATCATTAACAGACACCTCTTTCTCCTTCTAACTAACTAACTGACTAACTAGATGGCTTACCGAACCCAAAGGTTCATCACCGAATTAACCAAAGCCCTCCACCGGGCCCTGTCCTGGGCCAACAAAATTTCTTCTCGACTTAATCACCCTCACAATACTGGGGGAGCAGTACAGATTTTTAAGCTCGTCATTGTGCAGTTTTCTCCACGCCCCATCGTCTTCTCTCCTAGGCCCAAATATCCTCCTCAACACCCTGTTCTCAAACACCTGCAATCTGTGTTCCTTCCTCTGAGTGAGAGACCATGTTTCGCACCCATACAAAACAACAGGCAAAATTATTGTTTTGTATACTTTAATGTTCAGGTTCTTAGAAATCAGATGGGAAGACAAAATATTTTGAGCTGAGAAGTAGCAAGCATTTCCAGAATTTAGTCCCCTCCTAACTTCCTCATGAATATAATTTTGATTAGTGTAATTAATTAAACCACAAATATGTGACACTAATTAATGTGCACAAGCATGAACGAGGTAGAATATGATAACGAGTGGTATTTAAGTGAGGATGTGGAAAGATACCTTTGTAGCTTATATTAAGGTTTTGTTTTGGCATTTGCTATGGAGACTGAGGAAAACTGTGACAAACCTCAATCACAATAGCTTGTAATGTTTCCAAGATTCAAGCTGTGAACCTTTTGATTACGGTGCTAGTTCCTTCTGCATTGTTATGAACGAGATGATCAGTCTTTGTTATTGTTGCAGCTGTCTTCCAGATCATCCAGAGCATCAGAGCAGCCTAATGGCCTCCTTAGGGTGGCCGTGCACGTGCATACACGTGCACTCAAAAGCACAATGCACAATTACTGGTGTAGTGATTGACTGTCGTTTGATATTTTTTTTGTTTTGGTCACTAGAAAGTGATATCTTCCTTTAAGCATTTAATCTTTCCGCCACAGCGTCGTTTTATTCTTTGGGTTCCTTTTATTTTGTTGGGAGAGGATTGTATGATTGATATATAAATATTGTAAATATAAATTTGTAAAGCAATTTGGAACTTGAATTGCCATTCCAGTGTCTGACTCCAATTCTTATACCAGATGTGGACAAATAAATTTTGTTCTTAAGTACATTTTCCCGGCGTGTGACTAATCGAACCGGTTTACTTTGACCAAACTGAATAGCGAGTGCTATCTGAGCGCAGTTTATCACAACTGGTTTGCCGTTAGATAGACGGTGGTTCCTGCAACATG